AAAAAAAAAAAAAAAAATTTATACATTCCACCACTAGGCATCTGCAGCAGACGACTGTTACTTCTGTCAGATGTAACAGATGGGGTGGGGAGAAGGTGTTGCTGGGAAGAAGAGGTAACTATCACTGGGTAGACAGAAGTAATTTTTTTTTTTTTTTTGAGATAGAGTCTCACTATGTCACCTATTGCCCTCAGTAGAGTGCTGTAGTGTCACAACCACCAAACTGAACTTTCCATTTAGGATTGCTTAGTCTTCAAATTCTTCACTTGGATTTTCCATTATTTGCTAATAATGATCGTTTATCTTCTTCAACATCTATACCTCATCTTTTCTCTCTTATTTTAGTGTTATAGCAGTGGCTAGAACTTCTAAAACAATGAATTAGCTGTGATGTAAAGCCTTCTCTTGCTTTCTTCATAATTTTAATAAAAGAATAGCCGAGCAACAGTAGGGCTCAGATGGAAATGAGTGCCAATTTTCTTTTGGTTTATATATAAAGCAGTGTGACTGGGGCAATGGTACAAAAATCAGAGTATGTGTGATCTAGGATTTAAGAGTATCAGGGGTCAAGAGAGAAGCAAATTTATGGCTATGATCAAGACAGCAACATTGCCATAGCCAAGCCCTGCTTTTGTTTATTGTGCTTTGGAAATAAAAAAGAAAACAGAACTACCTTAATTCTCTAAACACACAGAAGTGATTTTCTGGTCACCAGACAAATGAATAGGTAAAATAACAATTCAAATCATTATTCCTTGAATCACCCACAGTAGTTACATCCAAAAGAATGTAAACTATTATCACTTTGGCAACGCTATAGCTTATGATAATCACAACATCACATTTATAGTAGCTAATGCTTTTTACTTTATTCTCAAACTTACAACTGACTGGCATAAATAAAAACAGCATTTTTAAAATTTAAGAAGGATTTAAAAAAATTTAAGTATGGAACCACAGTGGTCAAATTTTCTTACCTATTTAAAGGGATTTCTAGCAAAAAAGAGAATTTTTTAAAAACAATCTATTCTTCACTTGGGATCAGATAGTAGGTATTACTTAATCTCCCTTCTAAACATTCTTTATACCTTAATTCAAAATTTAAACATCTTGGCTCGGCGCCTGTGGCTCAAGTGGCTAAGGAGCCAGCCACATACACCTGAGCTGGC